CCCTGCGGGAAGCAGCTCGCTCAGCGCCGCGGCTGCTTCGTCATTCCCAGGTGCTTAACGAGGCGCCGAGACGTGCGGCTCCGCCGCGAGCGCCGCCCGCCCACACGGAGCTSCTCCGGAGCCCGGCACGTGGCTTCCATAAACCTCCCCTTGGCTCTGCCGCCTCGTCCGGAGGTTTCCTGGAGGCCGAGGCCACCGTGCTCTGCGCTGTGTTTTATTTACTTGCGTATCCTCGGGGCTGCATGCTGTTTTCGGCGCTCTGACGATGCCGGGTCCGGCGGCACCCGGAGCATCCATGCGGCGGCACCCGGAGCATCCATGCGGAGCACCCCTCGGAGGGCGCACCCCGAGGTGCAGGCGGTGAGCAGCGGGGGGTATCGGGTCCAGTGCAGAGCAGGGCGCTCCGATTGCAGCGCACGCACTGGGCACGAGGCTCCCAGCTGCTCCCTATCCCTTCCCACCCTTTCTTTCCTCTTCTTTTTTTAAATTCTGGAATAAAAACCAGCACAAGGGCTCTGTTCCTCCCCCGGGGCAGAGCAGCAAACGGCTGGCAGGTCGTGGGGAAGCRACGAAGCCGGTTTTGCCCTTCGGCCTCCTCGCCGAGGGCCTCGCCGGCCCCGGCGGCACCGTCCGGGCTGGAGCAGCGGCTCCAGGGAGCCCTCGYGGCCCTTCCCTAAGGATCCCCCTCGGCAGCCCTGGAGGGACCCGCAGGCTGCGGCTCCGCATGCGCTGCTGCTGCGGCGGCGCTGCTGCGCGCCGCTTCCCCCCTCTGCTGCTCCCCGCTGCCCGTGCAGCAGCGCAGGCGCTCGCGGGTGGCCTCTGCAGCTCACGAGGTTCGGGGGAGCCGTTCGCGTGCGTCCGGGTGCAGAACTCCTGCACATTTGGGTGCAGGTCGCCTGTGTCCATCCGGATGCAGGTCGCTCATGCACATTTGGCTGCAAGTCACTCATGCACATTCAGGCGCAGGTCGCTCGTGCACACTCAGGCGCAGGTCGCTCGTGCATGTTCAGATGCAGGTTGCTCCTGCACATTTGGGTGCAGGTCGGGTGCAGGTCGCTCATGCACATTCATGTGCAGGTTGCTCATGCACATTCGGGTGCAGGTCGCTCATGTACGTTCAGGTGCAGGTCGCTCGTGCACATTAGGGTGCAGGTCGCTCGTGCACATTCAGGTGCAGATCGCTTGTGCACGTTCGGACGCAGGTCGCTCGTGCACGTTCGGACGCAGGTCGCTCATGCACGTTCGGGTGCAGGCTGCTCCTGCACATTTGGGTGCAGGTTGCTCATGCACGTTCAGATGTGGATCGCTCATGTATATTCGGACGCAGGTCGCTCGTGCATGTTCAGATGCAGTTTGCTCGTGCACATTTGGGCGCAGGTTGCTCGTGCACGTTCAGGTGCAGGTCACTCATGCACATTCGGGTGCAGGTCGCTCGTGCACATTCAGGCGCAGGTCGCTCATGCACGTTTGGCTGCAAGTCGCTCGTGCACATTTGGGTGCAGGTCGCTCGTGCACATTCAGGCGCAGGTTGCTCGTGCACGTTCAGATGTGGATCACTCGTGCACATTTGGGTGCAGGTTGCTCATGCACGTTCAGATGTGGATCACTCGTGCACATTTGGGTGCAGGTTGCTCGTGCACATTCAGGCGCAGGTCGCTCGTGCACATTTGGGTGCAGGTCGCTCGTGCA